GATCTGGGACTCGAACCATAGTTGGGCTATGTGGGAGTCCAGCACCTTAACCATTATGCCACCTTTTGGCCCCATGCTGGTAGGAGTTTTGGAGTGCCTGGTTACAGCATCATGAGAGTGCAAGTCTAGTCTCCCCTCTTAGACTTTACTGGTATCAGTGGGTTGGGGTTCCATTTCATGTAGTCTCTAGTTGGAATACAACAGTTATTGTCATGCTAGCCTGTTCCTGTCTTGGCAAGAAAGGCATTTATTGCATCTTAAAAAAAAATATTTTTGTCTATGCCCATTGGCATCTCCAGTTTGCTGGCTTTAGCACCAAGTCTGGGATGTAGGAGGCAAAAAGAAAATCCAAGGAACTCACTTCTGTGTCATTATTGGGTCCCAAGATTCCTACAAGTCTTTTTTCAACCTTCCAGAGAATAACTGTTTTCTGTAAAATATCCAGTATAATTTTAGTTGTCCTTAGAGGAGGAATAGAAAAAGTACATCTTCTTTGTCATTCCAGAAGCAAAGAATTTGAATAACTTCACACCACTGGATCGTTGGGGCATGTTTTGGGGTCACTGTGGCTCCTGAGGCCTGTTTCACTATCCTTGCTGATAGAACGGGTGCAGTGACACTCATCTACCCTCTGCCCACGTACATCCTACTACTGCAGATAAAAGTAACAGTTCCTACCCCTTCATTTTCCCAGAAGCATTTCTGAGGTGCACTGTGACAACACTCAGGTAAGGATGGCTATTGTCCTTTGTCCCTTCTCTGCTCTCAGTCCTATCAGAACCTAGGTAAGATCAAGTCTAGCGAAGTATTGTTTGGTGGTCACCAAAATATTAACTGCAGTTTTACTTCAAAACCAGTGAATTATAAAGAGTCTTTTATGGAATAAAATAATTAATGTGCAGATTTGGTGCTTTTGCAATAGCACAAAAACAAAGTAATCCAGAAGATTGCTTCTCAGTGGATTTAGCTGTCAATAAAATGAATAACCTCATCATATGATCATTTTTGACAAAGGAATTGAAATAATGGCATCATCTAACATTTGGGAAACATTTATGGAACATTCAGAATTTAGGATGCTTTGGACATAAAAAGCACATAAAAAGCAAGGTTTCTGCTCTTAGTGAAATCATTGAATGATGAAAATGGAAAATAGAACTAGAGAATGAACTACGAATGGTAGGAATAGGTAACTATATACACACACGCAATTGTACGTATCAAGAATTTAACTACCCAGTCATGATTTCTGGTCAAGTAAACCTCATATATAAATATTTCATGTGAACATGTAGAAAAGAAATGCTCAAGTTGACTGTAGTGAGATCACGCCGTTTTAACCATGTCCCACACTCCTCTTTCGTTTTCTGTTTCTCATTTTTATAGAAGCGAGACTACTGGCTAGTTGTGTGATCTTGGGCAAATTACTTGCTTAAGCCTACTTCTTCATTTATGAAAGATAATTATACTCACATGAGTTATTTGATTAACTAGCGCATATAAAATCCTTTTTATAGATCATGAAATACAATAAAAGCTGGTATTTTCGCTTTTGTTATTGCTGCTTATTATTTTTGATAGCAGGCTCTATAAATCTAATTGAATTAACTTTTCTCTCAGATTACCTAAGATTCTATACTGTGCCCTTAGCTTAGGTGAATCAGTGCTCAGCGAAGTAAGCTGGCATTAAGAATATCAGAAACCTCAACAGTGTTCATGGATGAACATGAAGGTACTAAATATAGTGACACTTTTCCTCACAATTCCTATTATGCTTACATATATGCACTTTTAATACTAACTCACCAAGAACAATAATTAATTTTACTGCCTTATTATATTCTCATTAAAGATAATAGTTTTGGCTCAAGGCTTATACTTTAAATTCTTGTAAATAGGGCCAGCAGTTGGCATGGTGGTTAAGGGTGCTGGACTCCCACAGGGCCGACCGCGCGCGGTTCCAGTCCCGGACCCAGTAGCTTGCTTTTCATTCTCTCCACTCCCACCCCTCAACACTCTGTCCCTCTCAGGTCAAATTAAAATAAAGAAAGTTGGGAACCAGCAGTTAGCATAATGGCTATGTCGGTGGACTCCCATGTAGTCGACTGCGATTCGTGTCCCAGACCCGGTGGCTTAAAAACTCATGCCGGGTGTGTGCATGCATGCCCAAGATCCCGAGAGGAGAATGAAGAAGGGATTGAGGCGTGACCATCCCCCCTGGGGGGGATTTCTCGCTTTCTGTCTCTATGTCTCTGTCCGGTGAGTGCACACACCCTATAGTGAAAATCTCTCAAAAAAAAGAAAAAAAAATATATATTCACCTATTCTATTTGCTTTCTTTTAAAACTTTTTATGATAGAACATGTGTATGCACATGTGAAAATATGAGGGAGAGGGAGGGCATCTTTGAGAAGTGTAATCCTCTTCCTGCAGTCCTCCTGCTTGTTGGATCTTGGGCACTCACATGTGCCTGTTGTTTCAGGCTGACTGGGCCAGGGATTCGAATCATGGCAGTCATGTGGGATCCGGCTTCTCCTGAGCAGTGTATCACTGAGTCATGGAGCCAGTCTTTTTTTCTATTTGCTTTCTATCATTTCTACTTGGATATACTTTGCTTTGTTCAAGTGGCTTAAATGCTCTCAAAATCTAGCAGTAAAGTTTTATTCATTGAATCATTATCAAGTGTTTACTATAATGCTAAGCACTATGCTGGGCATATTAATTTAAGAACTGGCATCCACTTTTAAGTGGCTTAGCATCTTTGGGAGATGTGTTATTATCGCTGCTGTCCTACTGGAGATAAGTTATTTTTAGCTTATTTATTTTTCCACTTCAGCCCTGTTTAAAATGTTTTAGGGTCCAGAAAATGATGTGGTGGTGAAGGCACTGGACTCCCATATGGTTAAGCACGGTTCAAGCCCAGACCCAGAAACTTAAAACTCTTGCTGGGTGCATGTGCATGCCCCCAAATCCTGAGAGAATGGAGAAGGGACTGTGGCATGGCCATTTCTCCTGGGCTAATTCCTCACTATTCCTGTCACTCTCTGGCAAGCACCCGTGCCCCTTGACCAAAAAAAAAAAAAAAAAAAGAAATTAAAAAAAGTTCTACTTAATGTACTTTTTTTTTTGAGAGTTTTTTGCAACAGGGCGCGTGCGCTCACCAAATAGAGACATAGAGACAGAAAGTGAGAAATCACCCCCCAGGGGGAATGGTCATGCCGCAATCCCTTCTCCTCCATTCTCCTCTTGGGATCTTGGGCACGCACGCACACGCACCCTGCATGAGTTTTAAGCCACCAGATCTGGGACGCGAACCGCGGTCGACTACATGAGAGTCCAGCAACACAGCCATTATGCTAACTGCTGGTTTCCAATGTAATGTACTTCTGAAACTTTCTCCTTACATAGTCCCCTGTTCTCATACCTTTAGAAACAGCTTATGGCATAGTCATTAAAGAGAGAAGGCTGGGGTGGGGTGCTGGACAGTGGCGTATTAAAGTGTAATGCTCGGCATGGGAGACCCACATGGGAAGGTTCAAGGAGTCAGGAGACCTTGCTGAGTACTCTGGGTGTATGTGTGCCCATGATCTGGGGCTGGCTGAGACTAGGGGTGGATCACAGCATCAAGATGATGCTGGGGGTACTGTCTCTGTCTCCTAACGCATGGGAAAATATGAAACTACAGTTAAAAAAAAGTGTGGGCTCTGGATCCAGACTGGATCATGACTATACTGCTTGCTAACAGTACTGTGTAACCCTGGGCAAGTAATCCCTATATGTTTCATTTTCTCTTTCTGTTATAAAGGTTAGATGAGTTATTATATTAATGATGATATAATTGATAATTATAATTATTATAACTTGTGGCTGGCATACAATAAGCACTTGATAAATGTTAGATGTTATTATTATTATTACTGTCATTAGTTTGTTTCTCTAAGATATCTGAAAGAAATCTATTCTGATTTTTGAGGATTCACTATATGATAGCGGCCAGCAGGTGCTATGGTGGTTAAGGGTGCTGGACTCCCACATGACTGACCATGGTTCAAGTCCCCGACCTGGTGGCATGCTTTCTCACTTTCTCTCTTTGTCCCTCTCTGGTCAAATTAAAATAAGGAAGGAAGGAAGGAAGAAAAGAAAGAAAGAAAAAAAGGAAGGAAGGAAGGAAGTTAAATAATTCTTTAAAGAAAAACGTTAAGTATGATAAACTTAGTTTTTTTAATGAGAAATTTCCAAATATGAACTCAAGAGGGAAAAGTTACCAGGAAGTAAGGGAGTACAGTATAAGTAAAAATTAGGAGGGAGATAAATAAGACTATATAAAGAAATAAACATCTTTGTGACTGACTCTATAATCTTACCTTTAACACATAATTTCCTAGCATCTCATAGACTAAAATATGGGTTTCTAGGGACCAGCAGTTGGTGTAATGGCTATGTTGCTGGACTCCCATGTAGCCAACTGCGGTTCGAGTTCCGGACCTGGTGGCTTAAACTCATGCTGGGCATGTGTGCGTGCATGCCCAAGATCCTGAGAGGAGAATGGAGACGTCATTGTGGCATGGCCATCCCCGCAGGAGGTGATTTCTCGCTTTCTGTCTTTGTCTTTCTGGTGAGCGCACGTGCCCTATAGCAAAAGCCTCTCCCCCCCCAAAAATATGGGTTTCTATAATATGGAAAAATCTGTATATATTTAAATATATATTTTACTTTTAAATATCTGAAAACTGTTACTTTATGGTTTATATTTAGCTCATGAGAATTATGCAGAGACTTTAGAGTAATAACAATTGGCTTTTGTAGTCTGTCTAAAAACTTTATTTCTCAGAATCATAACGATAATCAATCCAAATAAACAAAATTTCTAAAGTTTCTAAAGAGAAAATATAATTTCTGTTATAAGCACCTTTTAAAAACTATTTTTGTGCAAAAGAGGCATAAACATTTTTACGTATGGCAAATTAATTCCTTAAAATGATCAAAAGGCACACAATGAGAACAGGTTCATTCCAGCTTTATTTAAAATTTTCATTTCAAAGGAAATAATGTGACACTGATGCGTAAGAATACAATCAAAAACCGAAAGCAACCTAATTCATTTTCCTAGTTTGCTCAAACCTCCAGGCACCAGTCAAATACCGAAGTCGTATAAAAAGTAAATCCTTGCCCATTTGTAGCCAGCTCCAAAAGGGAACTAGTTTAGAACCTGTGATTTAAAAATAATGAAAAATAATTAGCTTACATAAGCTACGGAGAAAAATATATCAATTTTAAATTTTATTTTAGAAAACTGCCTACATAATTTTTCTGAATTTCTAGCACCTTAATTTTACTTAAATAACGGACCAACAAATTAAGAATCTCAAAGCCAAAGTGAGTGGTTCCTCCAAAACAAAAATAAAACATCCTGCAATAAAATATAAGTTGGGGGGATCTAAAGTGTCAGAATTTCTGATGCCTTACTACACGGGAGGAGAGACAATATATAGTGAGGGTTCTGGGAATGCCTAATACAGAAGGTACTCGTTGAATGCCAATTAATAAAACGTAGTAATTACCATACAAAACAACTGACAAGATAGCATAACAGGCAAATATGATTTCTACATAGAGCCCAAGTGTAATGGTGAAAAACAAGGCCTGTGATCAGACTTAAGACAATTTTGTCTAGATCTTTTTGTCTTGGGCTACAAAAGAATACCCGCCTAATTAAATATCTGACACTGAAGTGGATTCTTGGAACCATTACTTGTACTATACAAGATGGAAGAAGGTTTAAAGTTCATTACCATTTTAATTTTACTTTTTCCTCAAAGAAGACCTTTTTGCTGCTCTCAATTTATGTAATAGCTTTCTTCTGAAAACATTACTACCAAAACACTTTGAAGATATTAGCCTTATTCTATTATTATTATTATTAATCAAAGGGCAAATATCTTCATTCCATAAACGAGGAAGTTGAGGTATTTATAATTCATTAATGATGCAACTCTCTCTTTAATGCAAATAAGCAAATCATAAACAGATTTAACTTATTTTCCCACTTCATGTTCCTATAGAGTCTCTGTTGGGCACATCAATACAGGCAGATCAAGAGTTGATCAATACAACTCTGGGTGATCCTTTTACCTGTTTCCCAGTTCTCTTTGATCCTAGGCCTCTACTGTGGAGATGAATTAAGTTTCTTTAAACTCACTTTGACTCAACAAAATACCAAGAGTTTGAATTCACTTTAGATTATGTAGTTTGTACAATTTTCTGTCTCTCAACATATGGTTTGCGGGTAACAGAGGAATAATGACTCCAAAGGTGTCACGTGCACTCAGGAGAGAGGTAAACTCTGAAAAAGTCTCTCGTTGGTTAGGTTAACTGCTCCCACACTATGGATTAATTTAGGTTCATTCTAAGGTAAGGAAAAGAGAAAACTAGAACATACTTTAAATTCTATATGGCCAGAGTTATCAAAGCTTTTCTGAATAGGCATCGTCAAGGTTTATAAAAGATTTTAAATTATTATTGATTTTAGGGATATTTATATTTTTAGGTATGTTTATAGATAGCAATAACAATTTAAAAATAGCTCTGAAAAGACTATGCATATATGGAATAAAAACAACTATAATTTCTTATTTGGCTTTTCAAAGTGCCTTGTAGGTACTGAATATTCAGAGTGACCAAATAATACAATACTGAAAAAATAGGGATAGAAACAATAAAGTTGATCTTAGAAGACAAATTAACTTTGCTTCTAACTTCAGATCACCATGACCTGGTCTACTATAGGAGGTCTCACTGATGTTTCTTGGCCAGGGTAGTAGGCCAGGGTAGAAGACCTCCAAAAATGATGGAAAGAATATAGAAGGTAGCAAGCCAGATGGAAGGGATTAGCAGGCAATGCTCTCCCTTGGAACTGGTGCGGAGTAAGACAGCTGAGCAGGCCCTGATGGGCAGGGGGAGGGGAGAACATTTAAAGCCTGCTGGCTTTATTGGACAACCGCATTGTCTGATGTCTCCCTCTGTCTGACAAGACTAGTCACAAAATAAATATATTCACCTTCAATTTCAGTCCAGTTGACAGCAATTTCTGCTACTGGAATTTTAAAGTACTGTGCTATGTAGAGCAGTTCCACATCAAATGCCCTGAAATAGAAAATACATTGATATTTATTTTTAAAAAGATAGATAAAGCGTAATTAAATCAAGGTAATTAAATCTTTACCATGGCACATTAAAGCAACTTACACAGCAGATGTAAAGCTTATTTGATAAAACTCAAGATCAGATTCACAGAAGGTCAAATAACAAAGCACTTAGTAGTTCAGAAGCTTCCAGGCAAATAAAATTTAGAATGTGTGCCTGTGTAACATTTATCTATCTGATAATCTATCTATCATATATCTATTTTCCTGAATAATATTTAAATGAGAAAAATATTGGGTTGTCAGAAAAGTCAAGATGCATTTTTGCATAAAAACAGAAAAATACATCATGGCTTTCCAGACAAATTAATACATCTCTGTTACTCAGAAATGCTGAGGTAAAAATGGCCTCTTGGGCTCTGAGAGAGTTTAATCCTGGAAATCTGCAGAATTGGTCATTTTCAATCCCAACCATAACTAGCTCAAAGTACAAAACTGAGGGTATTTTCACCTGATTCAGAGTGACAGTAATACAGAAATCTGAGAGGCTCTAGAAGAATTTTTTTTTTTTTTGAGAGGTTTTTGCCATAGGGCGTGTGCGCTTGCCAGACAGAGAGAGACAGAGAGACAGAAAGTGAGAAATCACCCCCCAGGGGGCATGGCCACGCCGCAATCCCCCCGTCTCCTCCAGTCTCCTCCATTCTCCTCTTGGGATCTTGGGCATGCACGCACACGCGCCCGGCGTGAGTTTAAGCCACCGGGTCCGGGATGTGAACCGCGGTTGACTACATGGGAGTCCAGCAACATAGCCATTATGCTAACTGCTGGTCCCTAGAAGAGCATGTTTTCAGCCACTTTACAGTTACTTATTTTCTTCCACTACCAAAAGATCAAGGATTCTCTTCCACACATGACCTTATCCAAAAGACTGAGAAGCAAATGACTTTTCCTTCGTTTCCCTCTATAGTTCTGGCCTGGCAGCTATTGAAAGTGAAAAGCCACTTTAGACTAGTCTGACATGCTTTTTGAGTATAACTGAATAAATACACAGAAATTTGCCAGATTGTCTTGTTACTTGTTCTAACATGCACAGTTAAGAGCACTTCTAGTCTTGGGCCAGGCAGGTGGTGTGAAGGTTGAAGCAGTAGGATCCTCTATGCCAACTTCAGTTTGAATCCTGGACCCTGCGACTTGAAAATTACACTGAGCACTTGAAAATTACATTGGGCACGTGTGTATGCATGCCCCAAATCCTGAGAGGAGAATGGAGAAGAAAGAACTGCAGCATGACCATCCCGTTGGGGAGTATTGTTTTTCATTCCTCACCCCTTTTGGTGAGTGCACATGCCCCATAGCAAACCAGAAAACAAAAACAAAAAACCACTTCTAATCTGACTCCCCAGTTAATCCTTTTGCCTATGAATGAGTATTTCTTAAACCTCCCATTCAATCAGTCCCTTGGTTTAGGTAAAATCTGCTTTTCCTAAAGATTCTGAATTCTGACCCACAAGTTTTCCCATATTCTACTTACGAATATGAAGTTTCTCTGAAGTGGTTGCTTCTTTGCACCAGTATTTCATGAAAGAAGGTTAGCTACTCATTAAGCCTTCTTCATTCTCTTGCCTCTAATGCTCTAAAGTCCCTCACTATTCTGCTTTCATACTTGAGTCATAAACCCCATACTTTCTAGGCTGCAGGGAGCACAGTTCAAACTTCCAGAGCCTGGTTTTAGAACATTAGCAAACAAGTTAAAATGCCCTAAAACCCACTTATATTTGACTTCTCTGATGCCATAAAACTCAAATGTGGAAAGTTTTCCTTTTGGCCATACTACTTTGACCATCCATTACGTAACTAGCTTAAATTCCAAGCATTTGATGAATTCAATATGCAAAAAAAATTTAAACAATGGTTTTTCTTATCCTAATAAAATATTTGATTAAGATGATAAAACCATCTACAAAACTGGGTTCCTTTTTTCATTCTTTAGATTTTTGTCACAAGGTAAGCACTGAAGACAGAGAAAGAGACAGAGAGGGGGGAAAGTGAGAAACCACAGCCACATCGCAATCCTTTCTCATCCAGTCTTCTCTCGGGATTTTTGGGCATGCGTGAACATGTGTCCAGTTTGTTTTTCAGGCCGCCATGTCCAGGACTCGAACAGTGAAGTCAGCCATGTGGGATTCACTGCCTTTAACCACCACGCCACCTGCTGGCCCAGGTTTTGTGTTTTTAAAAGAATTATCTACAATTTCTGTCACCTAGAATTCTGACATCAAAGAAAGAAATAACTTTAATTTACTGCTGGTACTCAACCTTTCTCTTTTAAGCAAAACAACAAAAAACAAAAACAAAACTACAGGGCTGAGTTAGTACTAATGGTATTCAATAATCTGATCAAGAGGGGCTGTCAGGTGGAGTTGTGGTTAAGGCAATGAACTCTCACATGGCCAACCACGGTTTAAGTCTTGGATCTGGTGGCTTGCTTTCTCACGTTCCCTCTGCCTCTCTCTGATTAAACTAATAACAACAAATAAAATTGAATAAGTAATTAATAATCTGATCAAGATGATTAAATACTGTGCTATGGCTATCAGTATCAAAGTGACTTATATCAAAAAACGCAAACATAAAAATGAGAAAACAAAAGTCCATCCTAGAGTGAAGCATTTTTTATGATTTCTTTTTCCTCTTAAACATTTTAGAAGACATGAACATTTATTATAAAAAATAAAATTGCTGGGACCAGCAGTTAGCGTAATGGCTATGTCACTGGACTCCCACGTAGTTGACCATGGTTTGAGTCCCGGACCCAGTGGCTTAAACTCACGCCAGGTGCGTGTGCGTGTGTGCCCAAGATCCCGAGAGGAGAATGGAGCAGAAGGGATTGCGGTATGACCATCCCCCCTGGGGGTGATTTCCTGCTTTCTGTCTCTCTGTCTCTGTCTGTCTGGTGAGCACACACGCCATATAGCAAAAACTTCTCCAAAAGTAAAAAATAAAAAAAATGAAATTGCTGGGGCTGGCAGTTGGTATGGTGGTTAAGGCGCTGGACTCCCACATGGCTGGCCATGGTTCAAGTCCCAGAACTGGTGGCTTGCTTTCTCACTTTTCCTCTTTCTTTCTCTCTGTTCACATTAAAAATAATGATGATGATAAATAAAATGAAAAAAAAAATTAAAATAAAATAAAATTGCCACTCACATCATCTTATTAAGAGCTCAGTATGTTACCAAAAGTAAACGTTTTAAGTAAAATACCAAGTACTTCCGGATAGGGCCTATGCTGCGTTAGACAGCAGCAATATGAGAGTTATTCTCCACACCAGATGCCTTCATCTGTGTTTGCGAATGTGAGTGGGAAACACCATCAGATCATTTGTTACTCTGTTCCTGGTAAAGTTGTTACTTTGCTTACAGATATAAAAACAAACAGTACACTGACATCATGTAAAACACAGCAGATACACACATACCTTATGGTTCTCTCCTGAAATCCCACTAAACTCTAATCAACAATGAAATAAACATACAAAAATAGAGAAGAGGAGATAATAATAATGCTGTAAAGTAGCAGGACAGCGTTAAGTAGGAAGAGTAGATGGCAACACTGGCAGAGGCCTCGCCGTGGCTAGCAGGTACCATGGAGCCTACACAGGCTCAAGGTCAGACACTCCAGATGGCACCTGCAGGTGGAACACGGCGGGACTGCAAGTAGAGGGATGCACTGAACAGATCAACAAATCTCCCTTCCTCCCTTTATGCCCCTCTTTTCCCCAGAACCACGAATGTTGATAGCTAGTCTCACAGCTCCTAGTCAGGACACTGAAGGATCTCCCTTAATCCCAGAATGAAAATGACCACCCCAAAAGACATGTCAGCTTAGGGACCAGCAGTTGGCCTAATGGCTATGTCACTGGACTCCCATGTAGTTGACTGTGGTTCAAATCCTGGACCTGGTGACTTTTACTCACGCCGGGTACATGTATGTGCATGCCCAAGATCTGGAAAAAAGAATGAAGGAGAAGGGATTGTGGCATGGCCACTCCCCCTGGGGGGGGTGATTTCTTGCTTTCTGGTAAGTGTATGCACCCTATGGCAAAAACCTCTCCAAAAAACAACAAAAAAAAAAAACCATAAAACAAAACAAAAAAGAATCACTCAACAGAAATGATGTAAGGAAAAAAGAAAATAATCACGGTTTAAAATTTTTTTTGGAGCAGTTTTTGCTATATGGCACGTGCACTCGCGAGACAGACACAGACAGACAGAAAGTGAAAAATCACCCCCCGGGGGGATGGCCACGCCACAATCCCTTCTCCTCCATTCTCCTCTTGGGATCTTAGGCACACATGCACACGCGCCCGGCGTGAGTTTTAGCCACCAGGTCCAGGACTTGAACCGCGGTTGACTACATGGGAGTTCAGCGACGCAGCCATTATGCTAACTGCTGGTCCAAATATCACAGTTTTAAATGAGACATGCAGAGAAGTAGTGGGAGATACTGTAGTCATGATACAGAATAGATTTTAAAAAATAAGGGCCAGTTGGTGGCATGATGGTTCGGGCAGCTGGACCGTACATGTTCAACTGTGCGGTTCAAGTCCTAAACTGGTAGTCTAAAAAGCACACCAAGTGTGTGTGTACAAAATCCTAAGAAGAGAATTGAGGAGAAGGGATTGTAGGTGGCCATTCCTTATGGCAGGTGCTTTCTCACCCTCCCACACCTATCTGTCTCTGATGCTGAGCACATGAACCTACAGCAAATTAAAAAAACAAAAATTAGTCAACAGAAGAATTCTATGCAATTAAAATTTTGACAGAAGACAAAAAACTTAAAGGAAGGGCTAAATGGTGAAATTGAGGAAATCTCAAAAGAACAAAAATAGAAAAGATAAAATTACAGAATCAGTAAGGAGGTTCCACATCTATTTGTGAAAAGGACAGAAAAATGGAGGAGATTGGCAAAAAAAAATGACTACAGAACAAGAACTCAAAACTAAAGAACAAGCATTTCTAGATTTAGAGGGCCTACTACATAGTTTAAAAAAAAAAGTAAAAGTCAGCTACATTACGATACAGAGGGGGGACCAGAAGTTAGCGTAATGGCTATGTCGCTGGACTCCCAAGTAGTCAACCACGGTTCGCGTCCCGGACCCAGTAGCTTAAGACTCATGCTGGGCTCACGTGCGTGCGTGCCCAAGATCCCGAGAGGAGAAGGGAGGAGAAGGGACTGCAATGTGGCCATCCCTCCTGAGGGGTGATTTCTCGCTTTCTGTCTCTCTGTCTCTCTCTGTCTGTCTGCCGAGCGCACGCGCCCTATAGCAATACTCTCTCCAAAAAAAAAAAAGATCCAGAGGGGCTGACAGGTGTGGTGGTTAAAGGCACTAAATTCCCACATGGCTGACCATGGTTTGAGTCCTGGACCTGGCAGCTTGCTTTCTCGTTTTCCCTTTCTCTCTCTGGTCAAGTAACAACAACAGCAGCAGTAGCAGCAGCAGCAGCAATAACAACAAATGGAATTAAAGAAAATAATTCTTAAAAAAAAAAAAAAAAAGATCTAGAATCATCTGTCAAAACACTGGGCAGAAAAAGCTTCCAAGGCAGGTGAAACACTATGCAAAAAATCAAGACCCAGATTCTCTACAGAATTAGATTCCTTCACAGAACCAATGAGTGCCAAAGACAATAAAGGAATGTATTCAGGATTCTGAGAAAAAATGATTTCCAACTTATAATTCTTTCTCCATCAAACAATTAAACAAGGGTGAGGTGAGGATAAAATAAAGACTTTTAAAATTTTTCATGCAAGGTCTCAAAAAATGTCTTTCTTATATTTTTAAGAAGTTAATATGAGTTCTCCTAAAATATGGGTGAAATCTAGGGCAAGAAATGGAAGACAGACCTGCGCAGCAGGCCAGAGAACCAGAAAGAGATGGGCCTATGAAATGCCTTCAAGAAAGATGAAACTGGTGCAGAATCTGGTATGTCTCAACACAATGAGATAATTATACTCCAGAGAAGGAGTTTGAACAGGAGTAAGTGATGGATCTTTATTAAAGCAATGCAAACAAAAAATTCTATAGACAATTATCCTCAGCCAAATAAACCATAGTAAAAGAAAGGAAATGTAATCATATTGCACATAAATCATCATTGTATAGTTATAACAATCAGTACTGATCTAACAAAAATTATTTTAAAACTGTGTTAGATGTTTAATTGTGGAACATGTGCAGGAATTTGAGAACTAAATGCTTATCCACTGACCTCATATCTTGGAAATTAATATCTGAGAAAAAGCAAAGCAAGTCCATTATTTTGAATATGAATGCAAATATCACAAAGAAACAGCAAAGAAGACTTGAAAGTGAGTATAATGAGGCAGTAGTAATTGAGGATTGAAGAAGACAGGGACAAGGGACTACTGTTCTTTTGTTATAAGCCTTATGGAACTATCCAACTATAAATTATAAACATGTCTGACACTGATTAAAAATAAAAAAAGTATTCATTGGAAGGACATATATTTCAGTGAATCCATTTTTTTAGAATTATTTAATTTTATTTATTCATTCATTTACTTTAATTTGACCAGAGAGATATACTGAGAGAGAGAAAGGAAGTGAAAAAGCAAGCCACCAGGTCCGGGACTCGAACTGTGGTTGGCTATGTTGGAGTGTCTAGTGCCTTAACCACCATGCTACCTGCTGGGTCCCTCAGTGAATCCATTTTAAAAAATTATTCATATAGTGGATAAAAGAAAATCCTAACATGCATAGATGGAAAGAATTTTGGTGAAGTACAACTCTGAAGATGAACAAGGGCTCTTCAAAATGTTCATGGAAAATTATGTATTATCAAAAGAAATTACACATGGATTTCAAATTTTTTAAACCAAAATAAACTCTTATCTTAGCTCCATTTTTAATATACTTTTTGAAGTCCCCCTGTATTTAACATTTAACACCTCCATACTCATCTTTGTAAAGCTAAATCCAAGGAGACTGGATTTAATCTCAACTTCAGCTATATTCCTTAGTGCTTTCTAATACCAAGAAACTCTCTTTGATTTGGAATTTTCAAAAGTTATGAGAAAAATTTCAATGACTCTTTCAAATAAACTCTTAAAAATATAGTCAAAGGGAACACTTGTATGAAATGAGTAGATGTACAACTTAGGTTCTAGAAGTTATATTGCTAAGAAAAAATATTGTTCTTCACTTTTTCTTGATTTTAAAGTAGAGAGTTTAGATGAAAACCATCAATGAAATGTTACTGTGGTGAAGGGTATACAATTAATCAAATGAATTCATGCATATTTAATGATCCTTTTAGGTATAACATAAACATTAACTGGTCCTAAAGAGATGTCAGAGGCTAAAATTTTAAGTGAAGTCAATATTATGTCATTTAAGTCCAAAACAAATAAAAAGGCATCATATAAACATAACATTTAAAAAAGGAAAAAAAAAATCCAACAACGTCAGTTTTTACTTAAAGACCCACTATGCTGTCCAGTAAAGTAGGCACTAGCCACATAGGGTTATTACTGAGCACTTGAAATTGTGGCTAGTCTGGCCAGCAGATGGTATAATGGTTACATTGCTAGACTCCCATGTAGTCGACCATGGTTTGAGTCCTGGATGGTGGTGAGGATGGAGAGAAACGGAGAGGCACGAATGCTAAAATCATGTCTTGGCCAGGGGCTGGCTAAATATAGGGGCTGTGGGCAATGTCAGGGCTGATGCCAAGGTTTTTAGCTTCTATATAACAGCACTATATACTAAATACAAGTTTAGAGGTGAGGAAAGGCTGGGGCTGGATCTCTGCTCGGCAAACAGTATAATTCAAGGTGGAGGAATGGGAGAAAGTTCTTATTAAGTTGAAGTGAGGAAAGAATGGGAAGAAAAACAGTGAAGACAGTGAATACAGTCCACTCTGGAGAAATGGCTGGCTGTGAAAGGACAGACAGGGCTAGTTTGAGATGAAAGACCAAGGCAAACAGAGAGTGGGTTGGGGAAGATTTAACTAAGAAAAGGCTGAATCTACAAATAGAAAATAAATGAACAGGATCGGATTTTTGACACAGTGAAAGAGGATGCAGAGGTCAAAGGACTGGTCTCAGGGGAAAGACCTTATCTCCTATAAAACAAGGGAGAATATGCTTCGGTATTTCAGGAAGCCTAAGGAAATGTTTTTAGGCCTCTCAATTCACACTGTCTACGATTACGGTGAATACATAACTTTATATCACAGGGTGAGGAGTATTTTCAAAACGAGACTCAGTCTAGTAAAACGTAAAGGCACAGATTGAGTTTACATATATAACTTTGAATTTTGTTTAAATTGGATGGTCATTATGAGAACACAGGGCTGCGTCTCATTACCTGGAATAACTGCTGGGTAATAAAACCAGATATATTCCAGTTAGAAACCTACCATCGTTCAATGTGTAGAGATGAAAACGTCCGTGAAGCTGCTTCTCGAGTTAGTAATTTGAACCCACACTGTGTGTCCCTGATTCCTTTGACACAAAGGAACCACACCAGAAAGTGGAACCCATACATGAGAAGAGTACGGAAGTAAGAACGCTGAAAACAAAGACAAAATAGAAATGACTTTTCCATTTACCTGTAAAGGAGACACTGAAAACACCTGGCTATAGACAAGGGCGTTTTAATATTTAATTGACCAGGTAGATTTCACATGTAAATACCATTTTTCCATTAGCTTCCCCCGCAAAAGACATTAAAGAAACAGTGCAGATGCCTACTCTGTGGAGCAGAGCTGAGGTGATAGGTAAGTGGTTACTGATTCCACGGAGGTTGAGTTGGACCAGAAAACTCACAGGATCTGTGAGACCAGGGTTTCAACCTACCAGGACAACCAGGTTTTGTCCTATGAGGTCTGAGCAAGGAGAACATTTTACTTACCTATATATATATATTTTTTTCTTTTTTTGGAGAGGTTTTTGCTATAGGGCACGTGAGTTTGCCAGACAAAGAGAGACAGAGAGACAGAAAGTGAGAAATCACCTCCCGGGGGGATGGCCACGCAGCAATCCCTTCTCCTCCATTCTCCTCTCGGGATCTTGGGCACGCATGCACACATGCCCGGTGTGAGTTTAAGCCACCAGGTCCGAGACTCGAACCGAGGTCGACTACGTAGGAGTCCAGCAACATAGCCATTACGCTAACTGCTGGTCCCGCTTACCTATGTATTTTATGTCTCTGTTCTACACAGATGTCCTCAGAATGTACTGGCACTAAGATCTGAACCCTCAGTACCTAGCTGAAGAGACTATTGACAGAAGAGGTACGGCAGAGTGTCACAATGCTTACAGACTAGAAAGGAGTTTGAAACAAAACCCAGTCTATTTAGGTGTGCCAGATATATAATTAAATACACTTTAAAGACTGAGTTTGGATATTAAACTCAAGTAGTTTTTACTCCCACCTGAGGATTATTGTTGTTAATGTTCTTAGTTTTATTAGTAGTAGTAATAGGAAAGAATACTCCATTATTCACTGAACACTTTAAATGTTAAAACACAGATTACTAATTAAGATCGGTCTGTATTTAAGATTTTTTTTTTAAAAGGACTTCTTAAAATCTTCTATCGTTAAGGTAATAAACTCATGAAATGATGCATTACACATGTACATAAGTGACCTGAGTCTGTGGAAAACATTGAGTAATTCATACTATAAGATAAAGGTTCTTTCCTCCTCTTGGGTTTTAAATTAAAAAATTAAAATCACTTTTCATAATTATAATCTTCAGTGTCATTCTTCATTAACATGGCTCTTTCTATCATCACTGAATAGAACCATGACCAAAGTGATAACATGATATAGTAAAACAAACAAACAAACAAAAAATCAAATTGAGTAGACCCATATTTGAATCCTGGAGGGTAACCTAGAGCAAGTTATTTTAACTTTTTAAATCCTAGTTTTTTGAGAAATGATAATACCTGCTTCACAAAGTTATCATAAAGATTAAATGAGACTATGGAGGACTTCAGCAAAGTGTTGGCACAGAAAGTAACAGGAACTCAATCATTTTTTTTTTTTTTTTTAAATAAAGAAAGCAAGCTTGAAGCTTACTTCACTCTCCTGACCACAAATTCACTTGTGTTTTAAGTAGGGTAGGAAAGGAAGGAAGAATAAAACACTTCTCTATAAGGTATGTAAAACAAACTTTAAGACATGATCTAGCACTTCTCATTTATCACCTAGAATTATTCATTATGTTTGGACGTAAGTATGTCTTACCTCTCTAAGTAGATAGGGCAGAAACCTCAGCTTAAAATACTTTGGAAATTTCACAACAGCTTGCTCAGTGCTTTCCATAAAATATACTTCCAACATACAATGGTTGACTTATTAAAACTCCAAAAGAGCACTTATGCTTAGGAAAAGAACAAATAGAAATTGAAAGATAGAAAAATAAAAATTAAAGGTAGAAAAATGATACCTATAAATTATTTTCCCTGAATGATTTTAATGTGATTTGGGTAAACTTATTTGTTAACAAATAAAAATATTCATCAACGGCTTTTCCTTGGATGTTAATAGATTTTTATTTTAGGATAACGGCTATTTTTAAAAAAGCAGAAATATGTGGAATTCACATGAAAACCTTAACTTACTTGATTCTGAATGTATTTTAAAGCACTAGGTAAACCACAAAGAGGATCTTGCTTTAATTTTTAAAACTTGGCAAAATATTTTAAAATTTAAAACATGACTAATATAGGGGCCAGCAGGTGGCATGGTGGTTAAGGGACTGGACTCGCCATGGCCAACAATGGTTTGAGTCCCAGACTTGGTGGCTTGAAACTCAAACTGGGTATGTGCATGTGTGTGCCCAAAATCCCAAAAGGAGAAAGGAGACGGAATTTTGATGTGGCCACCCTCTCTGGGAGGTGATATCTCACTTTCCTCTCTTGTTTTATTCAGTGAGCACATGAGACCTATGGCAAAAATCTCTTTAAAAAGATGACTAATATATATTATAGGATAGATTTATTTAGTTAAGTGAATATGAAGTGTATATGAAGCACAGAGAAATATTACATGAACTTCTGAAAAGCATGAAGGAAAAATATTCACTGCTTCAATATTAACAATATCGCGGGAACCAGCAGTTAGCATAATGGCTATGTCGCTGGACTCCCACGTAGTCGGCTGCGGTTTGCGTCCCGGACCTGGTGGCTTAAAACTCACGCCGGGCGCGTGTGCGTGTGTGCCCAAGATCCTGAGAGGAGAATGGAGGAGAAGGGACTGCGGCATGGCCATCCCCCCTGGGGGGTGATTTCTCGCTTTCTGTCTGTATGTCTCTCTCTGTCTGTCTGGCGAGCTCACATGCCCTATAGCAAAAACCTCTCCCCCCCAAAAAAAACCCCCAAAAACCAATATCGTTAATGTTTATGAAATGTAAATAAGTTGAGGTGAAATTTAAAGCTGCCTGGTAATTTCATTATCTTAAAATTAGAAGCTCAAATAAGGTCTAAGTCTTAAGCAAAGACTCTCCAAAGAAAAACTAGAGACACTGAATAACCACTGATGGATTCTGTTCTTTAATACTTTTGAACTGGTAAATTCTAGAATATCAGACAATATAAACATTATGTTAGACAAAACACAAGGGAATATGAGCACATTTAACGACGTTAAAGGACTCCCTTGATGCTATGTCATGTTTATCATCAAGAGAGTAAAACAGATTAATTGAAGCTATGTATAAAAATATTTAGGAAAGATGTTTAAATACTACTCAAAAAGTTATTGAAGCTGCCATTTTCTACCCTAATTCTTTTATATTCTCTTTCTGTTCATGGATAGATCACCGCACAAGGGTTTATATTACTGATGGGACATTAAGAGAAACGGAAAGCCATGCTGCTGTTTCCTGGACTTGTGGCAGACCCATGCCTTGCCTCCTGCTGATGACCTTCCATAAGACAGGTATCTTCTCAGAGAATAATCTAAACTTGACTCACTGCTGATCTCTAGTGAGTAAATTTCACTATCCTTCCTTTCTACGGAATAGCAGCCAATACTCTGGGGACCCAAAGCATTAAATTAATTACTACGCTTTAGAGTCAGAAAAAATACGTCTGGAGATTAGATAAATTCTGCACATGTAGGCCCTGGGATGATCCCTTGATGTCTGCTTACAAGCTGTAGTAGGTACAAATACAAGATGATTTAGACCACAGCACAGCCTCATTTATATATTATCTACAGGAAATATTCAACTAATGGAAATTCTAAGTGAAAAACTTTATATCATTAAAAACAAAGCCAAAACGCATAGTCACTTTCTACTGCCACCAACAGTAACTACAGGTGCCACACTCTTGCCTAGATTACTTCAATACTCTTTAATTTATCTCTTGCTTCCTACTTCTCCAATCTGTTTTCTTTCACTAATTAGATTATATTCCCAACAGTAATTTTTTTTAAGAGTTTTTTTTTTTTTTTTTTTTTTGCCTTAAGTTGAGTGTGCTTGCTGGGGAGAGAGAAAGAGAGATAGGGAGAAGGAAATTCCTGGGGGGATGGCCATGCCACAATCCCTTCTCCTCCATTCTCTTCCTGGGATCTTGGGAATGCACGCATATACGCCCAGTGTGATTTTCAAGTCACCAGGTACAGGACTTGAACCATTGCTGACCACGTGGGAGTCCAGTGATGTTACTGCTACACCATCTGCTGGCCTCATGTTTTAAAAAAGGAAAAAAAAAGTACTAAAAAACTATTAAGTTAATATTGCTCTATTTTCACTGTATTGTTCACAGAAACAATTTTTATTTGCTATTTTAAGATTTTTTTTTTTCTACTTTTTTTTTTTTGAGAAGTTTTTTTTTGCTATAGGGTGCGTGTGCACACCAGACAGACAGAGACAGAGAGACAGAAAGCGAGAAATCACCCCCCAGAGGGGATGGCCATGCTGCAATCCCTTCTCCTCCATTCTCCTCTTGGGATCTTGGGCACGCATGCACACGCACCCAGCATGAGTTTAAGCCACCGGGTCTGGAACTTGAACCGCGGTCGACTACGTGGGAGTCCAGCAACACAGCCATTATGCTAACTGCTGGTCCCTATTTTAAGATTTTTTTTAACAGCATACCTTTTTAATAAAACCTATTACTTCAGGCATTATCCTATGTTATATTATCTCCATTATCATCAATGTTACTTGCTAAAGATTTCTTTTTCTTTCTATTTTTTTTTTTTTGGAGAGGTTTTCGCTATAGGGCATGTGCGCCAGACAGACAGAGAGAGACATAGAGACAGAAAGCGAGAAATCACCCCCTAGGGGAGATGGCCACGCCGCAATCCCTTCTCCTCTATTCTCCTCTCGGGATCTTGGGCATGCACGCACACGTGCCCGGCGTGAGTTTTAAGCCACCGGGTCCGGGACGCGAACCGCGGCCAACTACGTGGGAGTCCAGTGACATAGTCATTACATCAACTGCTGGTTTCCAAGATTTCTTTTCTTTTTTGGAGAGATTTTTGCTATAGGGCACGTGTGCTTGCCAGAGGCAGAGAGAGATGGAGAGACAGAAAGCAAGAAATCACCCCCTGGGGGGATGGCTGTGTCACAATCCTTTCTCCTCAATTCTCCTCCTGGGATCTTGGGCACTCATGACATATCTGTCATGAATTTGAAGCCACAGGGTTCAGGACTCAAATCACAGTCAGCCATGTTCAAGTCCAGTGATGTAACCATTATGCCATCTGCTGGTCCCCTGGCAACAGATTTCATGCAGGGGACATAGCTATATTTCTCATTGTTGGATTTAGTATTTTACAGTTTTGAGTATTCTATAATTATTAATAAAGTGAATACCTTGGACATATACTAATAAACTTAGATTAGTCAATGTTTTGCCATTTAAAATTTCTAGGAGTATGATCTCCTTCTAGGGCTAAATGATGAACAATTTCCATTTATTTAATTATTTCAATTTGACCAGAGAGGGACAGAGTGAGAGAGAGAGACGGAGAGAGACTGAGTGAGACAGAGTGGGGGGGTGGAGAGAGAGGGAGGGAGGAAGTGAGAAAGCAAGCTGACCGATCCAGGACTTGAACCACAGTTGGCCATGTGGGAGTCCAGGGCCCTTTACCACCATGCGGCAACCTGCAAAAACACTGCATAGACTATTCCCTTAAAAAGATTTTTTTCCCTCAAGTTAATTCAGTTTTTCTGGCATAATCTATGCAGTAGTTCAACAGTGACTTTTATAACTGATAAAGGGTAGTCAAAACTGGACAAATTTAAGGCATAATATGTTTTCTAAGAGGAACAGCTAAAACAAAATATTTAAACTCTGAATAAAACTAAAAATATACTACTTAAATGTACCTGCTAACATTAGAAAAGCTAAAGGCAAGTTCATGGGTTTGTTTAGAAAAGTTTGTCTCATTAACTGAATGGGTCTGCTTCATTTATTAAAAAACTCAGAAGAGGTGGTTAAGTGCCAGATTCCATATGGCAAACTTTGTGCTTTGAGTCCCTGACCCAGCAGTTTTAAAAATATGCCGGATTCGTGTGTATATGCCAATAATCCTGAGAGAATGGAGAAGAGACTGCAGTGTGGCCCTTCTCCCTCAGGGTATGGCTGTCTTTTCTGTCTCTCTCCATTGAATGTACACACCCTATGGCAAAAACTAAATAAACAAACAATTCCACCTCCCACCCCATGTTTGCATCCTAAGGTAGAGTCTGTATCTTCCCCATATATTCCTTAAAAAATCAGCTCTGGGGTTGTCTTGTATTGCAGTGGTTACATACTGTGCATAGAAAGCTGAATCCCTTATGGCCAACTGTGGTTTACATCTCAGCCAAGTGGTTTGAAAAACACGCTGGCATGAGTGCATACCCAAAATCTTGACATGAAGGAGAAACAGAGGAAAGGGGACTGCAGTGTGCTTTCTCCCTCTGTCTGGCAACTGCATGTGCTCTATGTTAATGGGGGGAGCTTGAGAATCTAGATGAAAGCACCAAGAAATTCCTTAAAAAAAAAAACCCAATTCTAAAATTTGCCAATCTATCATGAGCCTTGTGGAAATTTAAATAAGGTTGGAAAAACCCTCATTTTGCAGAGATTAAACTTTAAAGCCTATTTCTTGCCAAATGTTTCTGTAAAAAAGCAAAAATTGCTGTTATTCCATATCAGTTAATGTAAAAAGTCTCACCTGAGCAATTGATTCTTTTTCCAAATGAGCTCGAGATCCACATGCAATAGCCATTTGATCCTGCAGGAAAAAAAAGTTTCTCAATATTTAAGTACCAGTAAAACAACAACAACAACAACAACAACAAAAAACACAAAGAAACAAACCCTATTTTCAATGTGAAAACCTCATTTTTAGAAACTGAATTTTAAAAAACTTTTTTCCCTTTATTTGTGAGAAAGTGTATGTACATGATTGTGAGAGTGAGTGTGAGAGAGAGAGAGAGAGAGAGAGAGAGAGAGAGGGAGGAGTGCCTCCACAAGATAATTCTCTTTCTCTAGACCTTTAGCCTGGGGGATTCTGGGCAAAGATGTAGGCCATGTTTCATGTGGACCAGGCTGGGGATTTGAACTGCAGTTAACATTTGTGATATGGTTTCTCTTGATCAACACATCATTGTTAAACCAGGGAGCCAACAAATGAAACATTTTTTAAAAAGTAACATTAAAAATCTTTTAAAGGTTTACAGAGGAATTCAGAATAAGAATAGCTTTGAGAAGTCTATACGTAGAGTATTTCTTTCCTTTTTTTGGGGGGGGGAGCTTTTTCCTATAGGGCGTGTGCGCTCGCCAGAAAGACAAAGAGACAGAGAAACAGAAAGCAAGAGATCAACCACCAGGTCGGGGGCTAGCCATGCCACAATCCCTTTTCCTCCATTCTCCTCTCAGAATCTTGGGCATGCACGCACGTGCACCTGGTGAGTTTAAGCCACTGGGTCCAGGACTCAAATCACAGTTGACTACATGGAAATCCTGCAACACAGCCATTTCGCCAACTGCTGGTCCCATATACATACAATATTTCTGAGAAGATACTGAATTTAGCTAAATATAAGGGGGCTGAATAGGGCTAAATATAAGGGGTATGCATTACTTAAAAGTTCATATCTTTACATGATACTTTTCTGATTGAAATTACTATATCAGTATTAGAGAAAAGGTCATTATTATAGAAAGATGGCTATATGTAGATGATATAGTTATATGCCTTGAAAAATCTAAAAATAGCAACTGAAAAACCACTACATACAATAAAAGAGTTTTTTTTGGAGAGTTTTTTTTTTTTTTTTGCTATAGGGCGCGTGCGCTCGCCAGACAGAAAGAGACATAGAGACAGAAAGCGAGAAATCACCCCCCAGGGGGGATTGTCACGCCGCAATCCCTTCTCCTCCATTCTCCTCTCGGGATCTTGGGCACGCACGCACATGCGCCCGGCGTGAGTTTTAAGCCACCGAGTCCGGGACGCGAACCGTGGTCTACTACGTGGGAGTCCAGCGACATAGCCATTACGCTAACTGCTGGTTCCCAATCAAAGAGTTTTAAAAAATGAATGGATATGTACAGTATTTTAGCCTTCATATGTAAACACAATAATTCGAAGATATAATGGAAGACAGCATTCATAACATCAATAAAAAGCAAAAAGAAATTTTATGGCAACATTTAAGTAAACATGTAAATGTTATTAAGGGAGAAAAAAGAATCCAACATAGAAAAATATTCATAGAAAAATGGACGAGAAGAGGTGATAGCAGCATTAAAAAGTCAATGCTCCCTCAATTAATCTGTGAATTTGAGGTCATATCAATCAAAATACAAAAATAATTTTTAATTGAACTGAACAAGCTGATTTTAAGAGTTAAGAGAGAACCTGCAAGAAACCTGGAAACATTTAAGGACTAGCAGGACTAGTCCCCAAAATTTAAAAAAAAAAAATTATAAGTTTCAACAATTCAAACTCAGGTACTAGAATGTGAATAGGCAAATCCATAAACCAGAATGTAAAGATCAGAAACAGACAAACCTTATGAATACTTAGAATAAAAAAGAAATGACATTTTAAATCATTGTGAAAAAGGTGAACTGGTAAATGGCTAAGGGCATTTTGGTAGCCATTTGGAAACCAAATTAAGTTGGACCTGAGCTCTTGACTAAATACTAGAATGCATTCCAGATACATTCAAAATTTAACTGCAAAATTTCAGAAATCATTTTGTAAATGATCTCAAGGAAGGCACAAGTACGTAAAACCCAGAAGAAAAGATAGGTCAGTTTGATAGCAAAAATTTCTAAAAAATTGTGCTGTAGAGCAAAACGATAATAAAACTCCAACCATATTCAATGTTAAAAGACAAATAAAATGGGAAAAATATTGGCAATTTATATTACAGACACAAAGTTAATTTCCAAAATGTACAGGTGCTTCAATAAATAATTTAGAAAAGTACCTAAAAATCCAGTTGGAAAAGAGGCAAAGGTTCTGAACAGAGTTCACAAAAGAGGAAACGAAAATAGTTTATTTTTATTTTTAATTTGCTAGAGGACATGCATGCTTGGTGGAGAGAGACAGGAGCCAGTGAGTGAGAAAACACCTCACATGGGGCATGGTCACACCAGGATCCCTTCTCCATTTTTCCCACCTATTGGGGTTTGGGGCATATATACATGCTCCTGGGGTAGTTTTCAACCTGTTGGATCCAAGACTCAAACTTCGCATAAGTTCAGACCGTATATGACAAATAAGCACATGTAGGATCCAGCTGCCTTAACTACCACACCATTGGCTGGATGGAAAACAGCTTTTAAAATAATGAGAATATCCTCTGTCATAATCATATCGAGGGTAATGCAAACAAAACCTATCAGTCGGGGCTGGCAAGTGGCATGGTGGTTAAGGGTGCTGGACTCCCTCATGGCCGACCATAGTTCAAGAACCGGACCTGGTGGCTTGCTTTCTCACTTCCTCTCTCTCTCTCTGTCTCTCTCTGATCAAACTGGAAAATAATAATGATAATAATAATAAAGTTAAATAAAATAATTCTTTAAAAAAAAAAAAACTATCAGTTTTTACCATGCTGTGCTTGCATACTCTCTGTGGACAGCAATTTGAAAAGTTATCAAAATTACAAATACACAAATAACTTGACCCAGAAATTCTAACAGTTTTTTCTTATAAATCTATTAGATTGTCGAGAAAGTCATGAGGTATTTTTCTATGCAAAAATGTGTCATGACTTTCTTGACAACCCAAAATATGTTTATGTGTAAAACAGCTTCCCTGCAGGGAAGTTTCATTACTGTTACATGCAGTAAACCCTCATGTCCATCTGCAAGACTGGTTGTGAAGCTGTGAAAGAATAAGGAAGTACTTTTATGTATATAAATAGCTCAGTCTCCAAGATACACTGGTAAGTGGAACCAAGGGAACAACGTGTATTATTACAGTTTGCACAATTTGGCTACTCACTGATCATTTCCAACTTCATGTTATATAAAGGTGTTTAGAAAACAACTTTGAATGTAAAACTTGATTTGTATTTTGGGTTTCTCTCTTTGGAGAAAGTCACAGAGGAATACTAAGTTAAAAGCCTGAATTTTTCTTTTTTTTTTTTTTTTAAAGAATCATTAAATTAAATTAATTATTTTAATTTGACCAGACAGATGCACAGGAGAGAAAGTGAGAAAGCAAGCTGCGTGGGACCAGCAGTTAGCGTAATGGCTATGTTGCTGGACTCCCACGTACTCGAATGTGGTTCAAGTCCTGGACCTGGTGGCTTAAACTCACGCCAGGCACGTGTGCGTGTGTACTCAAGATCCCCAGAGGAGAATGGAGAGAAGGGATTGTGGAGTGGCCATCCCCCCTGGGGGGTGATTTCTCACTTTTTGTCTCTCTGGTGAGCGCATGTGTCCTGTAGCAAAAATCTCTCCAAAAAAAAAAAAAAGAAGAAAGCAAGCTGCAAGGTCCAGGACTTGAACTAGGGTGGGCCATATGGGAGTCTAGTGCCTTAACCACCATACCACCTGCCATCCCCAGCCTGAATGTTTATTAATGCACATGGGCCAAACTGTTCTTTGAAAGTCTATTTATGTTCTCACTAAACTGAGTATGAGACTGACTAGTTCATCAAATCCTTGCCAGTATTAATTATTCTAATTTCATATTTGTTAACTGTAGAAGATGAAGATTTAACCACATGTACTTTGATCTACTGTTTTTCGGTGGGAAGTGTCTGATGTTTTAGACAGGGTCTTTCTGTGTTGCAGTCTTCCTGCCTTGGCCTCCTGAGTAGCTGAGTGGGCTGGGAATTGAACCTAGGCCTCCCATGTAGGCTCATCCTGCTAAACTGTAGTGCCCAGTGCATGTTACTATGACTGGGGCTACTTTTTCATTTTAATAAAAAAGTACACTTTTGGGAGATATTTATTAGCTACTTTTATTTTCTTTTGGGAATTCTGTTTTTCTAGCATAGGTTCTTTGTGTAAGAAAAGAGAAAATGACTCTCTTAAAGAATCATGTTACGGACCAGCAAATGGCATAATGGTCGCGTGGCTGGAGTCTCACATAGTCAACTGGGTCGAGTCCTGGACACAGCTGCTTAAAACTCATGCCAGGTACATGTGTGTGCGTGCCCAAGATCCTGAGAGGAGAATGGAGGAGAAGGGACTGTGGCATGGCCATCCCCCCTGGGGGGTGATTTCTCGTTTTCTGTCTCTCTGTCTCTGTCTTTCTGAAAAGCGCACGTGCCCTATAGCAAAAACCTCTCCAAAAAAACAACCATGTTAAAAGTTCAGATAGTGAGGCCAGCAAGGCATGTGGTGGTTGGGGCGCTGAACTCCCTAATGGGCAACTGTGGTTTGGGTCCCAAACCTGGTGACTTGCTTTCTCGCTTTCTTTCTCTCTCTCTCTCTCTCTGGTGAGTGCATGTACCCTATAGCAAATTAAATAATAATAATAAATAAATAAAGTTGAATAAATCATTCTTTAAAAATAAAGTTCAGGTAGAATATGGCGAATAAGCCATAACTTTTAACACTCCCCCCTCCAAAAATGGTAAAATTACTAAGCAACAGATAAAAAAGGACATCCTTCCATCTTAGAGACTCATGAGTAGAATTTAAATATCATTTAATTAAAATAAAGTCAAATACAAAACAAAAGCTTTCATTGAAAAATCTCATTTTTTCCCCCAGCATAAGCCCCACAAAGCTTCTAAGAGAGTTTTGTATAACTGAAGAATTTTG